CGACCAGTAAGACAGATCTGGATTCCGAAAAATCTGCGCCTGCACACCACGAGTCATCAGAGACTTGCCCTTCCGTTTCAACATCGAGCCTCGGCCGCGGTAAAGCTCGGCGTCGTCCACGACAGCACGCGCACGAGATAAAGCTTGCAACGCTAGGGCACGTGACCGTGCAAGGTACTGCTTACCTAATGATCCAGACATGCGGTACACCGCGTGCTCAGGAAATGCAGAATACCTATCTTCTGGCATCACAAAGGGGGGGGCCTCCAGGAGGCTCGAACTAGCCTGAGCCATGCAAGTAAGCCAGTGATCATCAGGACACATGGCCTCAGGGATCTCACGGGGCTTGCTTCCCTGACAGACGGGACCCACCAAAGCGTCCACATCGAGGACCACATCGAGACGCGCATGGGTCTCGAAGGGGGACGTCAGGTCGGCAACTACCGTCAGGTATGGGTAGAGGACGCGCGAACACACAACGCAATCAATCGTGGTTTCACCCGAACCACAAATGACTGCACATTACCAGGCAGGCACGTCCTAGCAGACATAAGCTCCGGGATAGCAGAATCCCCCAAGACATCTTCGGACACGTTGAAGCCCTCGTACAAACTCAGCAACCCCTCGGAGACGACCTGGATTGGCACCCCGGACCCCGATGGACGGAACCAGGTAAATCACGATTTCAATCGCATCTCCAAGAACAAACCAACATTCTCCTGAACCAACTTGCAACGCTTTAGGGGCCTGAATCAAAAACTTGCGGATGCACGAGCCAGGCTTGGCGGCAGCAGCAACTCCTCCATGTGAACCTCCCCGCGGCGAAGCCCAGGCATCCTGAACATGCGGAGCCCGTTTCCTGAACCTGCAAGATTTCTTCATCAGGAGAGCCTTCGGGCCGCGCATGTGGCGCTCGGCCATGAAGACCCCACAAACCTCAGAAGCCTTAGCTGCAAGAAGTCCCGAGTAAGCTTAGACCACTGATTGATATTGATGAACGTAAACAATGTACTGGAAGCCACTGCACGTGGCTTGGCGAGCGCGCTAGGAACGGCGCAGGGCCTGACCACTGCCCACGCCAGGCTGCTGCTCAGCTGACGCCTGCTGCGCGGGCGCACCGCCACCCGCGACTGGCTGCTGCCCAGCACGAACTGGAGTGGCAGCTGGCCCGCCAAGGAAGCGCCCAAACTGATCTGCAGCATGATGGCAGAAGACGCGGTACATGTCGCAGGTGACGTTCTGCCCCTTCTACGCACGCTTCGTAGCTCGTCCGTGAATATGCTTCCGTGGTAGATAGTGGTACTGATGTGCTTGCTGGACACCCAGTCCACCCTCAGCAGCACGTCGTTTGAGGTCACGAAGTTGGCCCCGATCAAGAGGCCCCATGGTAGCATCCCCTGCCCAGCTGGCAACATCAGAAGCCGCATCATCGGGACCTGGCTCGAGAAGGCCGCGCATCCTTTGCACACGGCGGCGGTAGTTGTTTTTCCGTTGATCGAGAGAAATGGCGGTAAACTCCGTGACCTTACCCAGGGTGTCATCGGAGAATTCGTGGAGGTGGGCTTCCACGTGGATGAAGTCAACCACCCTGCCACAACGCCATGGATCATCATCAACACTGCCAGGGACCATGCCAGGCTGCGCACCAGGCCCGCGCGGCGCCGGAGGGGCGCCCGCAGGCGGCTGAGCCGCCGGGGCGCCCGCGGGGGCAGGCTGGGCCGCTGAGCGGGCGAGGAGCGCCTTCTGCTCCGCGCGACGGCGCCGCTGGTCATTGACCTCGGTGCACTTGGCGAGCTTGACCTGGTTGACATCGAACAGCGTCTTCTCAGTGTCGGCGTCACGCGTGGCAGCACGAGCCCTCTCCAAGGCCTGCACCGCCTCTGCGTGATTGTGCTGCATCTCCTCCATCGTAGCCTTTGCCTTATTGTAGCGCTCAAGCCGCCACTGAACCTCCTGCATCGCGGGGCGCTCACACTGCGCTGCCAATTCGACCCTCTTCGCCAAGGATGTCTGCTCAGCCGAAGCCACGCGGTCCAGCTCAGCATCCGTAAAATCATGTACTTCAGGGAGTAGAGGAGCAGCGGCCTGCTTCGCCACCCCAGCGAGGGCAGGGCAGTGGGCCGACCAGTCCTCAAGTTCCTAAATGTGGTGTGGTGCCATAGGCACCGCCGCAGCCCCAGGGGGGACCCCATGGGTTTCATCTGGAACATCAGCAGCAGCGCGACCACCATCGACAGGAACGTAGTTACCACCGCACAAGCTGCACTGGCGGTGACTGTGCTAGGCATACCCCAGAGGCCGCATGAGCCACACACACACACGGTAGGAAGTATCTCTCTGCTTATTCTTCTTCTTGGGCCAAGAGTCAGGCTTCCACACCCAGCCCCCAGCACTGCTCCTGCTGTCACGATCACGCCACGGGGCATGGGCGCGCAAGGGCACGCCGCAAGCAGCAGGAGAAATCGGATCGTCGTGGAATATGTTTCCTCCGGAGCGTAGGCCGAAAAAGCCACCAGGGAGATTGACTGGGCTGCCCCCTGATGGCCAAGAAGCGTTCCTGGCCAGCTGCCTTGACAAATGGCAACTTGAGCCCAAATGGCCACGGCTTGGGGTGCCCAAGTGCCACGCCTGCTATATCGCGGTGAGCAGTGGACCACCAGAAAAGTCTGAGCGAGTCTGAATGAGGAAGAGCGTGTCGGAGTGAGCGTATAGATGTGTATGAGTGAGGGCGCGTGTGAGGCTAATTTCCTGAATGGGTTTGAATGAGCCTGAGTGCGCCTGAGTCTGAGTAAGCCTGAGTCAAAAAGCGATGTGGATGGGCTTGCGTGACGGAGGTTGCGTCTGTTATGGACCTCGTGGAGAAAAGTGGGTCTATGCGTGAACCCGTGACGGATGTGAGTGATTCGAGTATGAATGTCTCAGTGATATGAGAGTGAAGAAGAGGAATGGGAGAAAGGATGTCCAGGGGCGTCTTGGGTATCAACGAGAACCCCATCCAATGCGATTGGGAATATGGCTATATATAATGAACTTATATGTGCACACACAAAACATACGTACGTACGTACATACAGACAGACAGGTAAATAGGCAAGAAGGTAGCCGCACAGACAAACAAGCATTATAACACACATACGCACATACGTTCAATCAACCATTCATTCATACATACATACATGCATACATATATACAGTAATGCATGCATGCGTGCATGGATATATGCATACATACATATATATATATGCATATATATGTATATACATACATATATATATACATATATATATATGTATAACACGCATACGTACAGTCAGACGTGCATGTATGTATGCATGCATATGTGAACGAATGCATGCGTACACGCATGTATATGTGAAACATGCATACATACAGACATGCATGTATGTAGATCGGCATCGGTGTGCGCATACAAACGTACCAACCTACATGCATGCATGCACACATGCATGCGTTTATGCCTACACACAGGCATACCTACATGTATACATACATGTATGCCTGTCTACACCCACCTACATACATTACATGCATACACGCATATATATACATACGTACATAGATAAATGCAAACATACATACACACACATGCATATATATATATGTATGTATGTGTAAATGTACATACAAGCATATATATGTGTATATACGAGCATACATGGTTGCATGCGTGCATACAAACATACATACGTGCATGCATGCTCCTGTGTATGCATGCATACATACATGCATGCATATCTACATACATGCATACGTGCATGCATGCATACATATACACATACACGCATACCTATGTTGCATGAGTGCATGTATACCTGCATGCGTGCATGCATGCATACGTACATACATATGATGTACAATCGTGTGCGTAGACCTGTATATGCATAGTTGTACACATGTGCGTGCGCATGTTTGCATGCGTACCTATAGATGAATCTGGCTACACCTAGATCGAACAACAACATCCTTCGAAGGTCTGGGCCCCCCGACCTCAGAAATAAAACCTCAGACCTCTCCTGAGGTTCGTTCTGGCTAGAACTTCGAGGGGACCACAGCCATGACGACGAGGACGCTCCAGGAGGCCAGAACATATCCGCCACCGTGCGTCCTGGCACGCTGGGGCGTGGAAGAATGCCAAGTGCTGCCTGGCAGGGCTTCTGCAGTCTTCTAGGGTACCCTCCCCCCTTCTCATCACAGAGTGGCGCGTGCACCGCCCCTCCTCCTGAGGGATCCTGGGCGGCCATTGCGCTTCCCTCGGACTCCCAAAGTCGTCCGAGACGACCCAAAAAAGCCACCCAGGCCGCCAAGATGATGCAAGAGGCCTCCATGGCGGCTTCAGATGACCCAAGATGTCCTCGAGGCGGCCGAAGAGGCATCCAAAACGGTCCAGCACGGCTCCAATAGAGCCTCCAGCAAAGCCCCAAGAGGTCAAAATCCGTAATTGTATGACGGTTTGCTTTAGTTGTTCGCATTCTCGCCATTTCGAGCTTTCGCAAGTTCAAGACAGCCAAGGAAGCTTTCAAGCTGGCCTCAAGACGGTTCAGGAGGGCACCAAGAGGGCCACAAGACGGCCCAAGAGGGCGCCAAGATGGCCCAAGAGGGGCCCAAGAGGACCCCGAGTCGGCCCCAGGTGGCGCTCAGAAGGCCATCAAGGTGCCCAAGAGAGCCCCAAGACGACCCAGAGAGCCCCCCCAAAGATGGACTCTGAAAGCGCCCATGCGGCCCAAGAGCGCCCTAAGAGCTCCCGAGGCGCCCTCAAGGCGCTGCCACCAAGAGGCCCCAAGAGGCCCCCAAGAACCCCTCAAGAGGCCCCCAGAGCCTTGAAGAGGCCCCAAAAGTCACGAGTAACGGCCTCCCGCGCCCCATGGAATAGCCGCCACCCAACGTGCTGGCCTGGCACGGCGGCGGGACTTGCCGCGGGCAGCTGGAGAGAACAACCCAGACACCTCGACCTCGATCCTCGGTCCTTCGGAAGTCTGAGCGCCTGTCGCTCTCTCTCTCTCTCTCTCTCTCGTCCTGCGGGCGCGCCCTGTCACCAGCACGCCTCGATCTGGCGGGCCGCTCCTCAGGCCTTGCCCGCGAGGCCGCGGGCCTGGGCTGGCGGCAGGGCTGCGGCCTCCTCCCGCACTCCCGCCCCCCACGCGTCACTCCACGCCACCTCGGCCGCGCGCAGGAGCGGCCCCCATGCCAGGAGCCCGGGGCACACACGGCTGGCTTTCCTGCGGAAGATGTGGGGCGGCCGAGCACGACATGCGGGCACATGCATGGCCAGAGGTCTCGCCCAGCCTGGCCGTATCATGCGTAGCAGGGCTTCCTGGTAGGCAGCAGTGGCCTTTGGTGCGGGGCCTGCTGACAGGCGCGCGTGGTACGACAGTGGCGGCCTGCGTACGCTCGGGCGTGGGCCCCGCCCCCCGGCGAGGTGTCACTCTTGCGTGTGGCCGAGCGCGGCACGCTTCGTCGCAGCGGGTCCAGGCACACTCCGCTCCAGCCCGATCCGCTGGATCCCCAGACCTCTCGTTGGGTCGTCCAGGGGCTGTCTTGGGGATCTTCGGGCGGGGCTATTGGGCCGCCTTGGGACCCTCTTGGGCTGTCTTGGGGGCCTCATGAGGCGTCTAGGGCCCCTCGAGGCCATCCTTGGGGGATCTCGGAAGCCGCCTTTCATGGCCTCTTGGCGCGCTCTTGGGCCGTCCGTCCAGGGGCATGATTGAGCCGCTGCAGGGCTGTCCTGGGCAGCCGTGGGAACAGCTGGGGACTCTTATGAGGCCTCTCCGGACATCTTGGGGGTATATTGCGAGCCTCTTGGGCCGTATCTGGCGATCCACGATAATGCTGAAATCGCTGAGAAGCCTGAAAGAGATCCCTGACTTCTGCCTCTCTTGGACCGCTCTTGCGCGTCGTTGCATATTCCACGACAATCATGGAGCCTGCTTGAGCCGCATCTGGGTACCATCTGGCAGCGCGGTTTCGCTTCCATGGGGTTTCACTTCGGCTCCCCGAGGCACCCAAGACCCTCAAAGACGGCCCTGGGCCTGAGAAGATGCCCCCCGAGACGCCCCAAGAGGCCTCCAAAAAGCTTCCAGGAGACATCCGAGGAGACTCCGAGAGGCACTATTCAAGAGACTTCTGGCTCTTCTGCTCGCCCGTTTCCTCGTCCTCCTCCTCCTCCTCCTCCTCCACGTCCTCCTCCTCCTCCGCCTCCTCTGCCTCCTCCGCCTCCTCCTCCTCCTCCTCGTCCTCCTCTTCTTCTTTTTGATAAGTTTCTTCTTCTTAGTATTATTAGTCATCGCATTCTTCATCGCACTATTATTATTGGTATTAGCATTCGTATACTCAGTATCCTGCTTATTAGTAGTATGATTATTATTAGTATTACTGGTATTGTTAGAATTAAAAAAGTCCGTACTACTATTCGCATTCTTATTATTACCAGAAATCATGATCGCACTCATCTGGATGGTGATAGTAATAGTACTACGACGAGACATGTTACGATACTTAGCATTAAGACTTGTACGATTGATCGTATTACCCGTACTACCATTATTAGTTTTGGTCGTATTCGTAGTAGTAGGAGTAGTAGTAGTAGTAGCAGCAGCAGAAGTAGTAGTGGTAGTAGAAGTAGTGGAAGTAGTAGTCGTAGAAGTAGTCGTAGAAGTAGTAATAGAAATAAATAGTACTACTACTACTACTACTACTACTACTACTACTACTACTACTACTACGACTACTACTACTACTACTACTACTACTACTACTACTACTACTACTACTACTACTACTACTACTACTACTACTACTACTACTACTACTACTACTACTACTACTATTACTACTACTTGTCGTAGTAGTAGTAGTAGTAGTAGTAGTGGTAGCAGCAGCAGCAGTCGTAGTAGTAGTAGTAGTAGTAGTAGTAGTCGTAGTAGTAGTAGTAGTAGTAGTAGTGGTGGCAGTAGTAGTAGAAGTAGTAGTAGTAGTAGTAGTGGTGGTGGTGGTAGTGGCAGTAGTGGCAGTAGTAGTAGTAGTAGCAGCAGCAGCAGTGGTAGTAGAAGCAGTGGAAGTAGTAGTCGTAGAAGTAGTAGTAGTAGTAGTAGTAGTAGTAGTAGTAGTAGTAGTAGTAGTAGTAGTAGAAGCAGAAGTAATAGTAGTAGTAGTAGTAGTAGTAGTAGTAGTAGTAGTCGTAATAGTAGTGGTGGTGCTGGTAGTAGTAGTAGTAGTAGTAGTAGTAGTAGTAGTAGTAGTTGTAGTAGTAGTAGTAGTAGTAGTAACAGTAGTAGTAGTAGTAGTAGTAGTAGTAGTAGTAGTAGTAACAGTAGTAGTTGTAGTGGTGGTCGTAGAAGTAGTAGTAGTAGCAGCAACAGCAGTAGTAGTAGCAAGGATAGTCGTAACAGTAGTAGTAGTCGTAGCAGTAGTAGTAGTAGTAGTAAGAGAAGTAGGAGTAGCAGTAGCAGTAGCAGCAGCAGTAGCAGTAGTAGTAGCAGTAGTAGTAGCAGTCGTAGTAGTAGTAGTAGTCGTTGTCGTAGTAGTAGTAGTAGTAGTAGTAGTAGTAGTAGTAGTAGTAGCAGTAGTAGTAGTAGTAGCCATAGTAGTAGTAGTCGGAGTAGTAGTCGTAGTAGTAGTAGTAGTAGTAGTAGTAGTAGTAGTGGTAGTAGTGATTGTAATAGTAGTAGCAGTAGTAGTAGTAGTCGTAGT